GCCCAGGGCTCTGTCCAGCGCTCCAAGTTATGTTTTCATCTGGTTATCTTTCAAGGCAACCTGGGTGGTCGCAAAAAGCACTTGACATCTTGATGCACTTCAGCAGTTTTACATATACACAAACTCTGTAGGAAAATAAATTTGTCATTCGTCACCACATATGTTGATCTGGGGAGTGAGGCTCTTTCGACTCCGGCTCCTGTGCAGCTCAGCCCCCCACCCCCTGCTTCCTTCACTGTCTTATTTTTGTCACAGTGTGAAAGAACATTTCCCTCAAAAGCAATAATTTTTGCAAAAAAGGAGGGGGAGATTGTGTTCAGTTGAGGACGTTTCTTGAGCATGTTAACCCCTGAAACTAGCCCTTTCTGAGGGCCTCCAGCATGAGCCAAACATTTAATCTAATCTGTTATCGCTGCTCAACAGGCAGTCTTGGCAACAGTGATCTATTCTGTTTTGCTTTGGGGAATGCAATAAAGAGCCAGGAACAGCTGGTTTAAGAAAGCCTTACAAATGTCTCTGTAGTTTACAAAGACAATAATAATATTTTCATATTTGAATGAGTTTAGATACATGTTAAACCACACCAAAGGGGAAAAGCAACTCTTTTCAAAATGTTTTCTCTAGTCAATCAGGGAACACTACAAAAATGTTCTGCATCCCTGAGAGTTCAAAGAAATATAGAGTACTCTGGACATAATCATTTATTTTAAAGGTTCTTCTGACTTTTTTTCACATTAGACAATTCCTTGTTTTGTAGCAATTCTTATTTATACAGCTTTGCTGCACACAAATAATTATTATGTGCTTAAACTGTGGCAGAACAGTTGTACCTAATCATCTTAGAAGAAGATTACAGAACCTTTGTCCCCTCCAGATGTTTTAGACCAGAGGTTCTCAATCTGTGGGTTCCCAGATGTTTTGGGCCTCAACTCCCAGAAACTCTAACAGCTGCTAAACTGGATGGGATTTCTGGAAGATGTAGGCCAAAACACCTGGGGACCCACAGGTTGAGGGCCACTGTTTTAGACTATAGCTCCCATAATACTTTTGCCATGCTGAATAGGAGCAGTTGGTCAGAACATCTGGAAAAGCAATGTTATAGGTAACATTCATAGGTAATGTGTCTCATAAGAGCTAAAGATAGCTGAACTCCAAGCTTGTGGAATCCCGTCTTGATTATTTGGTGAGGGTGGCCATTATTTTCAAAATCTCATCAATCCACTTTTCTTATGCAACAACAGTATTACAGTATTAATATGGAACAATAAATTGCAAAAGAAAAAAAACCAGCTTTACGCCTGGGTATGTCAAAAGCTGAAATTAGAAAACCAAACATTTTTTGTGATCAGAAATTCACTGATAATTGTAAAATGCCTCACTAACAAGTGACTATGGTTCAACAAAATTTAATGTTTCTTTACTGAACTATCAGACTTATGTCATGCCTTGAGCCATGAGGAGAGGTAGGTAAGAAATATTATTATTATTATTATTATTATTAGGATTTAGAGGAACTTCTCTTTGCCTAGTTGGTGTCCATATGGATTGCTACGTGGATATTATTATTATTATTATTATTATTATTATTATTATTATTATCTTTATTTATACCCCGCTAACATCTCCCAAAGGACTCGGTGCGGCATACAAAGGCCAAGGCCCACAATAAAACAACAGCATAACAAATACAACAATAAAACTCATAAAGCAAAACAATAAACATTAAAACAATAACAATAAATATAAAAAACAATAATACCATGATGCATTTAAAACTAGGCCGGGCCAATGTAATGAATAAAATTTAAAAGTGCTGGACATGACAGGTGGAGTGTAAGGTTTTTAGAGGTAGGAGTGGTGTGCAGACAATCTTAAATCTCTAATAAAGTGCATTTGGGACATGATGCTAGGAGTTTCCTATTCTGGAAAGGCACACTGGAACAGCCAGGTCTTCAAGCTCTTCCTAAAGACTGCCAACGTTGGGGCTTGTCTGATGTCCTTGGGGAGAGAGTTCCAGAGTCGGGGGGCTATCACAGAGAAGGCCCTATCCCTCGTCCCCACCAATCGCGCTTGCGACGCAGGTGAAATCGTGAGCAGGGCCTCTCCAGATGATCGGAGAGATCGTGTGGGTTCATATACGGAGATGCGGTCATGCATATATCATCTATATTCAAAGTTAAATGTATTAATATAATAATGCACAAAAGGCATAAAATTGTAGCCATTGGAAGGTAAGACACCGCCTGCAAAAGAAAGGCTAAATTTTATGTCAAAGAGGTTAAGCACAACCTCACTTTCTTTGAATTGTACCACAAGAATGGTCAATATAGTGCCCATTGCCACATACAGTAGAGTCTCGTTTAACTGACCTTTGCTTATCCAACATTCCATCTTATCTGACAGAAGGATATGGAAGGCCTTATTTGAAATAGTTATTTTTAATTGAACAAAATGCATAAGCTTGCGGGTGAACTACAACTTACATCATGCTAGGTTAATCTCTTGAAACTCCATCAATACATACTTAAAGGTCTTACCTGTCCCCTTCACTTTGTGCAGGCTGGGGTGCACAGCCATGCCCACCAGGACGGCGGTGTAGTGCAGGGGAAGGGGAATGAAGCAGGTGCTCCTGGGAGGGAGGGGCCTCCTTTTCTTTTTGCTCTCCTCCTCTATTGTAACCCACTCCCAAAAGGTTGCAAAACACTCCCCAAAGAGAGAGAGAGAGGCCCACACACTTTTCCTAGGTACACCTTCGGTAAAAGAATGGCACAGAGCTCCTGGGTGGAAGAAAGCAGCAGGAAGGATCCAGAAGGAGATTGGGTCACCAAGATCTTGGCCGAGGGCTTCCCAAGGATTCAAGGGAAGGGGCTACCTCTTGGGGGTGGGGCCCATTTTGGCATCCATTTCTGCCACTGTTGCTCAACCCAAAGAAGGAGAGCGAGGGATCAGCTTTTCTCCTTGGTGGGGCTCCCCATCCGCATTGCACGGAAAACCCAGGCTGGAGATATCCGTCCGTATTATCCAATATTTTTGTTTATCCAACATTCTACCGGCCCATTTATGTTGGATAAGCAAGACTTTACTGTAATATGCTAAAAAACCTGCTGAATATGATGTGGTCCGTTGTGTTTATCAAAAGCCACTAATTTGTACAGTGTGTTTGGTAAAAACCATGGCATTGTTTCAAAGCAAAGCATACAATCAGTTTAGTCTCTTAAAAGGACAAGTACTTTTGCAGATTAAGAAGATATCATATACAAAACTCATAAAAATTATGTTTTTGGATTATAGCTCCGGAATCTAAGTTAGCACAACTAGTAACTTTTTGAAGTTTTGATGCTTATAGCTGCATGATTCCATGTTTGTATTTGGATTGTGTTGAAAATGCAGGTTAATATTCTTGAACTTTCTGGAACTAAAGGGGATGGGGTTTCTCTCTGATCATCCTAAAGCTTCCACCATTCCACCTGAGGCTGTGTATGACCTTTGATATTACCTTTCAACAAAGTGCTTCAAAGAGGTGAAGACAACACCTTTCATATATTGCTACCTTTTGCTTTTCTGATCTTTTTCCCTGCCTTTTCTTTGATCATTTGTTTAGTTTGAGGGTTCAACACCTTCTTTCTTTCCATTCCCTCTATGGCTAGGCTTCTTTTTCATCTCTAATCTCATTTTTCACTTATTTTTTCTGAAGCATCCCTTAAAACAACTTTAGGAATGGATCCAAAGGAGCATGAGCAGAAAGAAAATAATGACCAGAACTGCACTGTAGTATAGGTCACATAAGCAGAATACAATTTTCAGATATAGTTTCATTTTTTTCTAAGAGATATGTGAAGAAATTACCAATCAGCAGTTCAATAACCAAAAAGCAACTGATTAAGGATGACAATAAATAGCAGCAATGTATAATAGTAGCAACTTCCAAAGTATATCTAAAGAAAGTGATGAGTTATGAAGTTCCAAACAGAAGAAGCGCATCTCAAACTATGAAGGACTTGAACAAGGCCACCAACTATCCAAGACTATTAGTTCCCAGAAGAGAAATCAGAAAATTTACATCAATATGAGGCTTCAAGCAACAGTAGCTTTAATATGTCTTTTAGCAATCTCTTAAATTCCCCTCTCTTCCCAAAAATAAGAGGTAGCTCACCCAAGTCCTGTAAAATCCACATCCTACACTATGTTTCCAGTGTAATCAGCACATTTAATATGTCTGAAACATTTCTTGCTCACTACATCTAAGGTGCCATCTACTCTTCCATAGGCCCCATCTAATGTCATATAATGCAGTTTGAATCTGCACTATATGGTCAAATTAGACTCCTATAATGCAGTTTAATTGCATTGAACTGCATTATATGAGTCTACACTGACCATGTAATTCAGTATTATGTGGCAGTGTAGATGGGGCCTAAGGGTGAATCTGCACTGTAGAATTAATGAAGTTTGACACCACTTTAGCTACCATGGCTCAGTGTTATGGAATCATTGGAGCTGTAGTCTAGTGATAGCTCAGCACTCTTTGGCAGAGAAGGCTAAGCATCTTGTAAAGCTACAATTCCCAAGATTCTACAGAATTGCGCCACAGCAGTTAAAGTAGTGTTACATTGCATTAGTTCTACATTATAGATAATGCATGGGCAAACTTTGGCCCTCCAGGTGTTTTGGACTTCAACTCCCACAGTTCCTAACAGTCGGCCAGCTGTTAGGGATTGTGGGAGTTGAAGTCCAAAACACCTGGAGAGCCAAAGTTTGCCCGGGTTTGTTAAAGATACACCCATAGTTAACCAAGAATAGGATAAGTTGTATACTATGATTAGTCAATATAATTAATTTCATAAGAAACACAAGCACCCAAATATCTAAACCAAAGCATTAAAACTATAAGTATTTTTTTCTGATAAATTACATAACACTAGACATATGGTGTTTCCCACAATATATAAACTACCAAAGCTATTCATAATTTCAATGTACTGGAATGTTTGCAATTTTACCTGGTAGGTGACCTCTGCAAGTGTAATAGAATTCTTTACAATAATCCTTACACAGGAAAGGAAGGGCTAATTCTCTTTCCAATGCTTCTTTCTCCGTTGTGTGGAACAGACTATGAGCATTTGGTGAGCAGTGTGCACATTTGATTTCCTGCAGCAGCTTCACACACTCTGTGTTGTTGGTAACAGAAAAGATCTGAAAGCCACAAACCAGAGAAATGTAAGTTTTCTTGTCTTCTGAAAAGCATAACTATGAATGGATGCAAATATTTTATGCCAATTTACAGTTACAGATAAATACAATATAAGCAAAAAAAGTCACAATTTTGGTAATGTCACCACAAGAATCAAGCAAAGAAAACATATAAGAAATACATCTACAGCAAACACTTTGAACATCTTAACAAGTTGCTTCTCTGTGAAAAATGAATCATTTTCTGTTCAAATGTTTGTTATTTATTTAACTGAAAATGTAAATATGAACACAAGAGAAGACAAAAAAAGACAAAAAATGTTGAAGAGGAGCAAATATCTCACTTTCACTCTAGCATCAAAACAAAGTGTTTGAAAGAAAGGTGGAGAGGAAAGACTAGGTTTGCTAGAATAATAGCGGGTGATAAATTGTTGGCACAATAATACAAAATAGAATGTGTTATTGATTTTATATGTAAGCCGCTCCGAGCCCCTATGAGAGATAGTAGTGGTGTCTAAAATTATTATTATTATTATTATTATTATTGTTATTATTATTATTATTGGGAATTTAACAGTGAATTGATGACTGAGGGCCCTTCCACACAGCACTATATCCCAGAATATCAAGGCAGAAAATCCCACAATATCTGCTTTGAAGTGGGTTATCTGAGTCTACACTCAGATAATATGGGATTTTCTGCCTTGATATTCTGGACTATAGGGCTGTGTGGGCCCTGTGATAAAGTTATCCTGTTCAGGGAAAGTCTGAACCCAGCAAACATCTGGGATTCTAGTGACAAAAGTTGGATCTACACTGGCCTATATACTAGGATCTGATCTCAGATTATCTGTTTTGAACTGGATTATATGATGGCCTTTCCACACAGCCATATAACCCAGAATATCAAGGCAGATAATCTACAATATCTGCTTTGAACTTGGTTATCTGAGTCCACACTGCCATATAACCCAGTTCAGAGCAAATAATGTGGGGTTTTATACAGCTCTATGGAAGGTGCCTGAGTCTCCACTGCCATATAATCTGGGATAAACAGACAATCTGGAATCAGATCATGGGATATAGGTCAGTGTAGAAAGGGTTAGAGAAGGATCTAAGACTTTCAAGTTGCACACCTGCTTCCTTGGGGCAGTGCAACCCCATCCAAGGAAGTTTCCTCGCCCAGTCCCTGAACATGAGAACTACCAAGTCACCCTGTCTACATTTATCAGGATGCAGTTTCAGTTTATTGGCCCTCATCCAGTCCATTACAGCTTCCAGGAAATGGTCCAGCATCTGCATAGCCTCAACTAACCCAGATGACAAAGAGAAGTTCAACTAAATAATCACCCTTCCCAGCAACAAGATGAAATAATATAGAAAACCCTGGGAGACCTTACAGTTCAATTGCATTGTAAATGAATAGCATTCTCCCAGTGCTACTCTTTGGAAGCAGCTCCATAGACAAGAGAAGAACATAGTGGTTCCCACTCTCATCTGAAACATTTCATGATTAACACTACCAAAACATTCTGGGAGATCCAGGAAGATTAATCAGTCCTACAATGATATAGTTCAGTCAGGGCAACCAATGCTATTTCTGTACCACACTGCCTGGCGTGAATCCAGGCTGAACTGTGTCCACATCATACATTTCCTCCAAGAACATCCAAAGCTGCCAAGCCACACTCCCAAATTCATTGTCCAAGAAGGAGATATTAGTGATTGGATGGTAGTTCTAAGCAAATGTAAATTACTCTTTCACATATATGACATGCACAGCTAAGTCCAAATGCACTTGAATTAAAAGCACACTTGAAAATGAATAAAGTTAGTTGAAAATGCAATCAGCTGGCAACTCTACCCGATGTGTATTTAATTATCACTGACCTCAGATAGTCCCAAAGGTAGCCCTAAAGCACAATAAAAATCATATTCATAAAATAAAATAAAATATTTTTGCTGTTGACATTTGGAATACAGTATGAGTGAAGTGCAACATATGACATTGTGAGCACTCATTAAAACATTTTAAGTACAGTTGAACAGAAATTGGGAGCCTTGGGCTTAATGACTAAAAATTCCCCTTTTCCAATTCTACCACTAACTCTGTCCCAACAATGAACCCACAGACCCACATTAATCTGGCCACATCCTGCTTTTGTTTTTGTCAGTACAAGAATCTTGAATTTTCCAAGTGCAATATGTTTCTAAACAGAGCAGGGGGTGATTGTTGTGGTAACTGGCTTAGCACCACAGAAGCACTGAGTTTCTGTGCAGAGACCACCATTGCTGGCTTACATTGATTAGCATAGTCGAACCATAGACTCATAGAGTTATAATGGGCCTTGTGGGCAATTTAGTCCCACCTCTTACTCAATACAGGATATCCAAAGCATCCCCAGCAGATAGCTGTCTAATCTCTTTTTGAAGACCTCCAGAGAAGAATACCCCACCACCTTTCTAGATGAGCTGTTCCATTGCCAATCTGATCTTATTGTCAAGATATTCCTTGCAATTATTATCTATTTTTCCTTCATTCCTTTGCTTTTACTGTAATTTCTTAGAGAGTATTCTCTGCAATTAAGAATAACTTTTTATGAATACTCAACTGTCATTGTATGGAAGTTCCGATAGTAAGCTTTAAGGCAGGGATCCTCAAACTAAGGTCCGGGGAGCGAATACGGCCTTCCAAGGTCACTTACCCGGCCCTCATTCAGGGTCAACCTAAGTCTGAAATAACTTGGAAGCACACAACAACAACAACAACAACAACAACAACAACAACAACAATCCTATCTCATTAGCCAAAAGCAGGCCCACACTTCCCATTGAAATAATAAGTTTATATTTGTTAAAATTGTTCTTCATTTTAATTATTATATTGCTTTAAAATGTTTTTGCACTACAAATAAGATATGTGCAGTGTGCATAGGAATTCATTCATGTTTTTTTCAAATTATAAACCAGCCCTCCAACAGTTTGAGGGACTATGATCTGGCCCTCTGTTTAAAAAGTTTGAGGACCCTGCTTTAAGGTTTGGTTAAAAGACTTGGAGCACTTACTTTTTTGGATTATGACTTTTTTGAATTACAACTCCCAAAATACTATCTGAGATATTCTCCATGTTGTGGTTCAAAAACTTCCAATTTCTGCCCCTAAACTATCCCATCACCATTACTATCCCATCACCATAATCAAGAAATCCATGTGGTTAGCCCTGTCCTTATTTCCATTCAAAGAAAGAGAACAAATACATGGGTATGGAACTAAGCTTTTGACTAGTAAAGTAATGCAGTACAAGAAGCAAATATGGAATATATGCAATCGACATTTGGAATGGACCGGTATATGAGTTGGATCATGTGATTTTAATGCTTTTATTAGGTGTTTTAATTATATTTAAATGAGTTAAATGTCTTTTTATCTTATCTTATGGTGAATTGTCCTATTGATTTTATTACTAGTTATATGTTGTTGATTTGAGTTTTGGTTTATGTATGTAAGGCACTGAATTTTGCTGTTATTTTTGTGTAAACTGCTTTGAGTCCCCCAGGGAGTGAGAAAAGTGGTATATAAATATTGTAAATAAATAAAAAATAAATGATGACATAATTCAAGACATGCCTTGAGAAATCACTGCGAATGAATTGAACAAAGTTTTTCATGGGACTTGAAATTCCAATCTGCCACAAGTAGTCAGGTCTTTATCCCAAGGCTGCTTGGGTTCTTCCTATTTGAGAACAGCTAAGCCAATGCCGCCAGAAGATACACTACACCACTGTTAATAGGCCCCTTCTCCACTCTATATCCCAGAATCTGATCCCAGGTTATCTGCTTTGAACTGGATTATATGAGTCTACACTGGCAGATAATCTGCAATAAGAAGATAATGTGGGATCAGATCCTGGGATATAGGGCAGTGTAGAAAGGGCCATAGAGGCCCAGTGAATCAGAAGGGATTGGACAGAGATAGGAAAAGTGAAGAATGGTTTATTAAGTATGAAGGAGATCAAGAGAGCTTTCCTTAATACATCCATCGGTAAGTACAGTGTATATCGCATGTGCAAGTATGGATAGCTAATAAAATAGGGCCAGAAAGGGGAAGCATTTCCAGCCTATGAGGAATCAGGTACTGTTTGTATGCAATGAAGTGTGCAAACAAGACACTTGGCTCCTACCAACATATCCACATTAGCTCAACTTCAAAACCTGAGCAACAGGAATGCTATCCACGAGCATTCTCTTGAATTTTAGATAATTTGCAGGGGGAATAGTGCACAGCCAAGGCATGGTTTTAGCCATTGGACTTAGGACTTGAAACAAAAAAGGAAGCAGGGGAAACTAATGTACATCCTCTGATTCCTCTCCAGCTGCTGCCTTAAATCTATACAGGATGCTGACTGCAGTTTAAAGATTCCCAGGAAGAGAGAGATTTATTAGCTTCGAAACAGACACTGGGAACATCTGTCCTGCTGGGTATTGCTGATCTGCATCTCATAACATTGCTGCTAGCTGTGCTGCCTAGGGTTGATGGGAGATGCAGTCCATTATATTTTATATGCAACCACAAAGTTAATATAAATGAATCGGCTTGAAGAATAACTGTGAGATTAGAGCCTATTTTTAAAAAATCAGTTATTTAAATGTATTACATGGTTTTATTTGATGATTTTAATTGTTTAATGTGTTGTATATTTATTTGCTTTTATGTTTCTATGTGGCATTAAATTGTTGCCAAACTGGAGACCGCTCTGAGTCCTCTTCAGGGTGAGACAGAGCAAGGTAAAAATGCAGTAAATAAATAATTCTCAAGGTGGATATTTTCTGGTTTGATAGCAAGGAGGCACAGTTGGTAGCTGTCCTTGGTATCTCCCCATGGAATGAAGAAATGAGAGATGGCTGGAGCCCCTCCATCTTGATCTTTCTATTCTCATTTGAAGTACTGAAATGACACCTTATATCGCTCCATGCAATCATGCTGGCCACATGACCTTGGGGGT